TCTACTACTACTACTATTCTACTACTACTACTACTATTCTACTACTACTATTCTACTACTACTATTCTACTACTACTATTCTACTACTACTATTCTACTACTACTATTCTACTACTACTATTTTACTACTACTATTTTACTACTACTATTTTACTACTACTATTTTACTACTACTATTTTACTACTACTATTTTACTACTACTATTTTACTACTACTATTTTACTACTACTATTTTACTACTACTATTCTACTACTACTATTCTACTACTACTATCCTACTACTACTATCCCAGCGGGCAAAATGACGTTTATCCAACGTTGAATCAACGTTGGAAATGACCTTCCAGACGTTGGATAGACGTTGAAAAAGGGTTGACTATGCAAATTGGATCGACTTTACTGTTTCGACGTTGAAATAACGTTGAAATTAGGTTGCCAATCTCGTCAACCATAATTCAACGTTGAATCCACGTTAAAACAACGTTGAGATTGGTTCACAAATCGACGTCGTACATTTAACCATGAATGAACGTTAATTCAACGTCTGTTGGCTGCTGTTGAACCAATGTTTGTAAAACAACGTCAGAGCAACGTAGATATTAGGTTGTCGACGTCGCAACCTTTTTTCTACCAAATTTCAACGTTGAAACAACGTAGTGTGCCCGGTGGGATTCTACTACTACTATTATACTACCATTATACTACTACTATACTACAACTATACTGCTACTATACTACTATTATACTATTATTATACTATTATATACTGCTACTATACTACTACTATTATTAGTAAAGTAATACTTAATGCTAAACTAATCCTAATACTAATTTTGGAACGTGTCAGCGGAAATTAAGATATCTTGTTGAAATATCTGATATGAGAATTTGTATCAGTTTCGTAGTCATTACCACATAACTTACTTTAAAACGAATTAATATTATAGTGTTGCCAATATAAGTTATTCAGATTAATCAATCAAAGCTCCCATTTCGTTGATTACCATGATTTGTTTTCCATTATACGAAGATGCCGCCACTAATTATGTACTTGAAATGTGAAAAATCTGTGTATAATTAACTTTAAAGACATCCAAAGATATTTAAAGAGCACTTTGTCCATTCGCTATCAAATTTCACTTGTACGAAAATCGAGGCGTATCATACAACTGTAATTCTGACAATATGTTCACGAATCTGTCCGAACTCTCATCAAAGTCGGCCAGTAGCAATCTAAGCCTAGTGAGATGGCAATGTTTTAAGGAAGAAGAAGATGTTTTATCTCCACATGATGTTGGATTTGTGGCAAATGTTTATCTTGTATCGTTTGTAAATGTCCTGGGCGTAATCCTTGCATTACTATTGAACCCTCTAGTTATTTACGGAGTTTACAAAAATAGACAAATAAACAAAATCACAAGAACGTTGACTATACTGATGGCACTCGCGGGGCTATTTGGCTCCTTGGTCATTCAATCTTTATTTGTGACCTCAAAGCTTACAACTTTAGCAACGATTTACAGCCAAGAGAAGTCCAATTATTGCACATTCATCTTTATCGTAGCTTATGGAACTAAAGTAGTTGGGGCATTTTCGATTATTTTAATGTTAGGTATAACAACAGAACGATTGGTAGCGGTAGCCTATCCTTTTCAGTACCGAACAACCAGAACTGTATTGCTGAAAACACTGCCATGCGCTTTTATAGCTTTATTTATCCATTTTACTCTCAGTGACATATGGCCGTGGTACCAAAGTTTTGCAAAAATTGTAACCGCTATATTCATCTATATTCCCTATGTTTTTACCATTTTCACCTATAGAAAAATTCATGTTAAGTTACGTAAATGGAGTGGTACACAAATGGCTGGTACGAAACGGTCAATAACTTCAATTCTAGTCGTTGTAACGTACTTAATATGCTTCTTCCCTCTGATAATCATTCGCAGTTTTAATTTAGACAAGAATAACTTGCTCGTAAAGCTGTATGTAAGACCGTGGTGTAATACGTTATTGTTTTGCTCTTTTTCACTTAATGCAGTTGTTTACGGGTGGAGTAGTATTAGACGATTTATTCCAATAATGAACAGACGGAGTTAAGCGCAACAAACTAAAGACTAAAGACTAAAGACAGTTAAGCCCTGAAGCTAGAACAATTTAATTTCACCAAATGAACACTATAGATAGTATTTCACCAAAATATGTATTGAGTGTATATATAATATACATACAGCATATCGTTTACAATGGCGATGTAGTTTTTCCATGCATTCTGTATCTAAATTATTTTGCATTTTTAATTTGCCTCTATTTATAGCCCCTCTTCAACTGGAAGCTTAATGCTACAAATACTTAGCAGAGCGAATTAATTTGTTATCTTAAAATGTATTAATCTACTTGACGTTTCATGCCACTTTTTGTGACAATCTTCAGGCGATTACATTCAGTTCGTCTGAATTTAATCGCCCGAAAATTGTCAATATGATTAATACAAAGTGCTAAAGAGTGCTGGATATAATATAGACTTGATAAGGTTGTGATTACAGCCTGTTTCATCTAAGAAGAGATATTCCATCGTAAGGAGATATTTACCATGTATCTAAGATCAAATGTGCCCAATATATGATTTCTAAACTGATTAAATGATGCTCCCATTATGCTTTGCACACTTAGAGTTTAAGGTTTACGCGGTTGAGAGTTTAAGGTTTGCAAACGACAACCTTTTTTTAATTAGCTGTATGTATTTCTAGTTGATTCATAATTGCGTCGGACAACGTACAGAGTGTATAAAAATATAGTCCTGGATTTAAATATAAATTTCGAAAATAACCGCTGAAGAGAATACAGCATAAAACTATTGAAATGTGTTTTCATTCATTTGGAGAATCTTTTGTATGTTACGTAACAGGCGTTTTCCATTTGGTGCCTTTTCGTTTTTATATGCTTCTTAAGCGGCAAACAAAAATATGTATAGTGCTTTGAAGGTTCAAAACAAATTTTCCCTGACAAATTCTTGTTAAAACATGCTTAAAACCCTATTTTTGCACCAATATCTGCAAGATTTAGGTTTAGAACATTTTTTTCTCACACCATGACTTATATCAAAAACGTTCCAAAATTTTTTTTTATTTTCCAAATTTGGGGGCCACCCTTACACTGTACCTCTGATAGGCCCTGTCAACTTATAATTTTCCCTATTGAAAAGTCTCTGCACGAATTTTTTTTTAACTTTTTTGGTGCACGATTTTTTTTTCTGTTTCCTATTTCTGTTTTTATTTTTGCCCCCCCCCTTCACTTTTCTAATGGCCGCCCCTAAAACTGCTAAATATGACGTCGATTTTACAGCATCAATGATAATTTATTTAAATTGACAATATTTAACTATTATTTTGTGTTTCTCAAGCGCCAGATACATTTAAAAGGGTTGCTAACTGTGTAAACCATAAAACACAAAAATAAAGCTAAAAAAGTAATATATTTGAGAGGAACGTCAAAAAAATTTAGGTTTTGAACACTTTTCATCGCGAAATTCGTAACTGATAAGCGACATTGAAAAAAATTGCCTCGATTAGCTCAGCCACTTTGCTCTCCAACGGCAGGTTACTATTCACATTTGAACGGTTGGTTCGCGAATAATATTATTTTAATTATAAAAAGACAGACATAAAGAGTCTAGACAATCAAAACTTTGAGATATATCTCACAAATCGTTATTTAATTTAACCAAGAACTCACTGTGTTAACAAAATGAAAAATTGAGTATTTTGGCAATGGTTTACTATATAAAAACTGAAATCGAAAAAGGATTAATAATTTCCTTTTTTAGCCTACTTTTATTTTAATGATGGTGAATTTTGGGAGTTTAAAGTGCATATGAAACGAAAATTTTTATTGTCTTATAAAAGAAAATTTTTATTGTCTTATGAAAGAACTATAAAAAGTATAGAGTATAACGTCTCTTGCAGTTTTTCAATCCATTGCTTCGTTTTCGAGATATTTCAGTTATTTCGATATACGTGCCATGGTTTCTACATCACAAAATGCATATAATGAATTATCAGATTAAGTTGTACGCATGTCCTTGTTATTATAAAAAAATGGCTTTAAAGAAGCATGCATTTGTGTTGTTCTACAACACCAAATACCTGGATTCTCTAGTATAATTTCATTTCATATATAATAACAAGAATATATTACTACATTTTCAGCAAACTCATTGACAATGCATATTTGTCAGTGACCTACAGTAGAAAGCTTGACACGTTTATCAAACTATATAACTGAAATATCTCGAAAAGTGACGTCGCCCGTAGCAAGCAACCAGAACTGTAGAAATGCATTGGTATCTAAACATTTTCACCATATTAAACAGTTTTATTAAAAGTTTGATTATTTTAGTCAAATGTTTTACTCGCCTAGCTATTGGACTGCCTATAGGGAGGGTGAAGAAAAATCCGTCTCAATATATGATAGTTCCGTCACAAAAATGTATGTGCCAAACTATATCGGAAGATTGTCTACTACTCAGGTTAACCAAACTGCATGTAACGTGAACTGTAAATTTCCCCCGCCAAACTTTCCCGCTAAATATAGCTAGCACGTGATCATTGAATGGATTGACCTCAGAATTCGGACATTAAAGATCGGAACACTCACCTGATGATTTAAGAATTGGAAATGGAAAAAATAACTTTTTTCATTTTTTTTTTAATTGTCAAAAATAAACTCACTGATTCTCATATTTCAAAGTCGTGAAAAAATTAATGATCCTAAGACCCACGGATTAATATGGCAGGCTATTTAAACTTGACTTACATATTACTGCAACTTGCCTATAAATCCGCAAAATGTTATTCGGAGTTACTGTTGTTTTGTATTTTCTTAAAATACTGCATGAGTGGTTCCCGTAATTATTGCCTATATAACGTATTGTGATTGCATGTAATTAGCAATTACATTTTATATATCCTTTTTCTTTGATTATTTTATTATTATTTAGGTTTGAAGCTAAGCCAGTAGAAACGACTCGAGACTACGAAATTTACGATCAACTTAACTTTGAATCAGACAGATTTGACGACTCGGATTTTGATGACGACAATTATTGTAAATATTCATTTCCAGCTGAAGATACGAATACTGCAGGAGGTAAGGAATTTTTATTTAAGGAGGAAATTGTTTTTCATGTTCAGAGCTATACTTACGCTGGTTCCAGAGGCTGCGAGGCGAAAGAAACGAGAGCCTCTGGTTACATCGGTTGCAAATCCCACTTCCCTCTGGGCCAGGGTACTTCCACACTTGATTAGGATCAGAATTTGAATCTCGCATGTGATTGGCCATTTGTAAAAATATGTCAAACCGGTTTGGGAAATAAACATTACTTTAAGCTAATTTAGCTTTAAAGTATTGTAGCTATAATTAGCTTACAGTAATGTTTATTTCCCAAACCGGTTTTGCCGCCATTGGGGGAGGGGGGGATGCAGGTCAAATTTGATTAGACGAACAATGTAAAAATCGTCGACAAAATCCTTCATTTTCCCGAAAAGATGTTTTCAGGGGGTGTCACACCCCAACACTACCCTAGCGACGGCCCTGGCTTTGACTGATCGGAAACGCAGTATGCAAGCTCAATGCATGCTAATATCATGTGTTTTATAGTCATCTCAGTTTTGATTCACGGCATGCAGAAATAAGTGAAATTTGCGCCCGCAAACACAACATTTTGTCCGAACTCCTATTTCATTGCAATGGCTATGGCAAAGTGAAATGGTTTTTTAAAGGCAAATAATACACTATAGAAGACAATGTGGTGGATGCGGGACAATATAACGCGTGCTCAGACCATCCAAACATGGAAATTTAAAGTGAAAGTTTTTTAAAGTGAAATTTTAACACGGAAAGTTGTTATTTTATAAAACAATTACCCTATGGTTTGCGTGTTTGGATGGCCTGACCCAAACACTTAGTTGGGAATGTTGCTCGAGTTAAGAAAAGCGCGCAAAATCACTCGCCTTTGGTTCGTGTTTCGCGCGCTTTCCCAAAATTTCCAAGTGTTTGGATAAGGCCATCCAAACACGGAAATCATAAAGTAATTGTATAATACTACACATTATGTCTTTAGTTTACGATTTTTGAGGAACAACCTTTTTTGAATTGGCTAGCTAATTCAAAAAGGTGATCCTTCAAATATTTGCCAATCCCAACCCCTTAAAACCACCAGCTGTATGGGCAATCTGTGTATTTAATAATCTTCTAATATTTTAGGCAAAGTTGAGACGTCGGGCAAACCCGAAGTTCCCGTTGGAACATATTAATGAAAATGTAATTTTCGTGATGAATAAAGCAGAAGCTGAACAGATCTTTGCATGGTCGTGCCGAAGTCCGTAGTTCAAACTCAAAGAAAGAGCAAAGTATTTTGTGTCTACAACCGATATAATGTAATACAGCATAATTGTGCTACATTATTTAATGGTTGAGAAATTATAATATATATATATATATATATATATATATATATATATATATATATATATATATATATATATATATATATATATATATATATATATATATAAACAGTAACTTTAAAAGTAAATTAAGTGGCTATATTGAGTCCGTGAATATATATCAATTTTAATCAGGCCAGATTTCTATTGACGTTACTGTGAAATATGTAACAAGAAGTATCAAGCATGAATTGTAGTTAGTGTGTGCGTGTGCGCGCGTGCAAGTGATAATTTGTTTCTCTCAAACTCGAGCTGTGGTCGGGTTAGAGACGATAGGAAAATAGACTGATTTAGAAAACACGACGCGAACTGAAAGACGCACCAATTCGAAACAAGAAATTCTTCATACAAAACATTAAATCTTGTATGACGGAACTTTCTCTAAGCCGCATTTTAGTAATTCTGTGTTTGAATAAATTAGACCATATAGGCTCAGTACAAAAAGATTATTTTAATAACTACGTTTCGGAGTATAACTCCATCTTCAGGTTAAAAAGTAACTAAAGATATAAAACTTTAAAAACAATTACAAATTTAGACAAAATCCGTTAGGATTGCGTATAATAGCTGACGTGCGCTTCAAACTAATTCGTGTCCGTGCGCGCGCTTAATTCCCCCCCCCCATGGCGTGTCCGTGAGAGCGTTAAAATTTCGTGTCCGTGCCTGCATATGTAATTACATTAAACTATATACAAAATCCCTTAACTTCCTGCAGCTCATCCTTTGAGTTCAGGTCAGGTTGCATTCTTTCAATGTAGAATGCCTCCGTGACTTTTCTTTCCAATGTTCCTTTTGTTTTCTTCAACATCAATGGAATAAGCTTAGGCGATTGACCCGGGTGTAACTGTTTGTAATGTTTCGAGAATGCCATATGTTGGTAAGATTTCGCATCGGGATTTCTCGCAGAGCGAAGATGTTCATTGAACCTCACAGCGAATGGTCGGCTGGTTTCTCCCACGTAAATTCCATGGTTCTTGTCACATAAACCGCACTTTATGGAGTAGACCAAATCCTTCCGGAAGCACATATTCTTCTTGTCGCAAACTTGACAAAACTTACATTTCGGACCAGTTCGGCAATCGTTATCATACGGACGGGATTGGACGAGCATGCTTCTAAGCGACTTTCCCGGGCGCTGTATCACTCTGATGTTTAAGCCTTTTTTCCTGATAGTTCTTCTGACGTCCGCAGTAAATTCTTCCGAAATAAACGGGATTACCAAGCAAGCATCTGGATTTGGTGTATTTGATGATTTCTTTGTTTTGCATGTCCTTAGGCTGCCAGTTGTGATGGTTTCTGCTGCATAGCCATTTCGGATGGTGCGATTTCTGAGTTCGCTCTCAGCTGTTGCTTTAAGGTTATTATCGGACGAAATCAACGAAATCGTTTTCAGTGTGTTTTCAATAGCTCCAATCTTCATTGATTTCGGATGGTGAGATAATGCATGAATCATTATCCCTTTGTTTGCTTGTTTCGTGTACCATGCCGTGTCCAAAGTGCCATCAGGATACACCAAATCCAGATGCTTGCTTGGTAATCCCGTTTATTTCGGAAGAATTTACTGCGGACGTCAGAAGAACTATCAG